TCAGGACTGATAGAACATCAAAAAATCTAGATATATTTTTTTTTTATTTTGATGATGTCACTTCTGGTTTGGAAATTTCCACAATTTACTGATTTTCCGAGGGTCACGTCTGAGCGTTTTCTCAAAAACCACTCAAGACAGAAACATGATATTTTCAGTTGTTATAAAGCAACATACTTAGAAATGAATTTTGTATTTCATTACCACCAGAAGTAGGGAACATCGACGCTTGCTATCGCCCGAAAAAAGGCATTATGAGAATTTAGAAATCTCTAACACTTTCTCTATAATTCCTCTTTACCTGTAATTTTTTTGTTAAAGCATACAGAACAAAAGTAGTGCAGAATTACAAGATCTTTCAATCAATATCATGGAAATGGGGCTGTCACCTCAAATAAGGGCACATAAGGGGCCAAAAGTTTTTTCTCAATATCTCAAAAAGTATTGAGAATTTGTTATACATCAACGAAGCAAAGTTGTTCAAAATGACAAGTAGCAGCTAGTGAGATTATCAAAGGACGTCGTATGACATCACTTCCGGCCACACAGGAAGAAGTCAAAATTGATAATTTTTCACAAATATTGGCATGGAATTGGATGATTAATTTCACAGAGGATGTCCAACCGTATTTTCCATTGTGTATCGTCACTTTCATTCACTTTCTGTTGAACCGGAAGAAGCCAGAGATGACATATATTTGGCAGATTTTGATGAAATTAAATAATTAGCATCACCCAAGTCTACAAACCTCATTTTCTGTTGATTGGTGTCACTTCTGGTCATACAGGAAGCACTCATAAATTGCTTTGTATCATGTATATCAGCATAGATGTCAATCCTGACAATATACAAAAGACAAATTGACATCATTTATGGTCTAGTGACCTCCTTCACCGTTCTTATGGACAGCGATTCTTAAAATCGGACGGAAGACCTACTCATTGCTTTGTAACGAGCTCTGCTCTAGTTATAAATAATAATTGATTAATATGATTAAAAAAACAATGTTGCAGTAACAATAATTATTATTATTGATGTTTTATTTGGCTGCACCTAATTTCATCATTCATTAAAAAATAAAATGATCAATGAAATTTTCACTCAAAATGTTTAAATAAATTGTGAACACCTCTTAGAGCCTTAAAATATGTTTAGTGACCGCACCTTTTCTGAAAAACCCAGCAGGGAGTATTTGTCCAATTTGGACAGTTCTAGTTTTTTATGTTAATTAATAAAATTTCAGAAAATGAAGCAAGAGAAGCTGGTGTACTGTGAGTCTAAAGCCAGTGATGTTGATTCATCAAGTGATGAAGCTTTGAGTGTTAGCGAAGAGGAAGAAGAAATCAGTGTCAAAGTATCACATCTGGACAGAAAACACAAAAGTAAGTTAAATGTTTTCCTGCATGAATTCTTTATTCAGTCAGACCAGTATTATTTAGGGATTTTAATGGGAGTGTCACAGTTTCATATGCCTAACTGAGGACACTGACATAACCAGTGACTTGCAGTTTCACATGCTTAACTCCAGATAATGATGAATAAAATACCAAGGTATTTTAACTTTGACCTACCCTCTGACCTTCACCTCATTTCAAATTGCATTTACCCTAGTTTCAAAAAAAATGTTTAGGATATACTGATATAAATTGGTCAGAGGTATTTAACTGTGTTATAATTTTCTGATCGTAACTAATTCTATTACCTTGACCTCAATGATCTTCATTTTACATAATAGCTTATCTCTTTTAGCTTATCTCGACAAAGTTGAGATGAGCTTATGCTATAACCCCTGGCCAAACTTGCATGGATGATGCATCTAGGGATTAACACTGCCAGACTTCAGATGCTGGATCTGACCTACATTTTCCAGATGAGTGACTAGATTAAAGTTTTTGGAGCAAGTCCATTCCCAATAACAATAAGCCCTACCTGGACCAAACTTGTATGAATGATGAATTCTGGGAAGGACACTACAAGACTTGCTTTGGATGCTTGATCTGACATATTTTCCAGGTGAGCGACCAAGTTAAAGTTTTTAGAGCAGTTGCATTCCATGACCAAACTTGCATGCATCTAGGGATGGAACCTACCAGACTTACTTCGGATGCTGGATCTGACCTACATTTTCTAGATAAGTGACCAGGTTAAAAGTTTTTGGAGCAGGTCCATTCCCAAGTAGTCGCCCACATGGCACAGTGGTAGAGCGTCTGCTCTAGAGTCGCAGAGTAAGGAGTTGATCCTTTTATTGCAGATTCGAATCCCACTGTGGGACGTGGAGACCGGTCTATAGGATAAAACCGTATAAACCAAGGTCCTGTGTTGCAGTAGATGCTGGCACGATAAAGATCCCTCACTGCTCAATGGCCCTGAGTGCCGAGTATAGGTCAAAATTTGCAGTTCTCCACCAGCAAGTATTGGCATCTCCATATGAGTGAAAATTCTTGAGAGGGACGTTAAACAACAAATAAAAAACATTCCCAAGTAACTATAAGCTCTATCTGGACCAAACATTTATGGATGATGCATTCTAGTATGGGCACTACCAGACTTCATTCGATGCTGGATCTGAGCTACATTTTCCTGAAAAGTGACTAGATTAATTTTGGAGAAGGTCCATTCCCAAGTACCTTAACCCTACCTGGACCAAACTTGCATGGATGATGCATCTAGAAATGAACACTACACGACTTGCTTTGGATGTTGGATCTGACCTACATCGAGGTGAGGTTTGTAATCTTTGTTTGTGTAATTGAAGAACAACAGCGACATCGCTGGACTAAAGAGGAAGACATAGCAGTGGAACAGTTTTTCTCCGAAGAAATAGGTGATGTTTCACAATCTGGGAACAAAGGAAAATTAATCAGTAAGATATTACCATATTTTTATATATGTTTGTAAACTTTGAGATATTTGTCCCAGCCAATCAGAGTGAAGCATGTGTGCAGGCACATTGAGTCATATTATTTGAGTTTGGCAGTAAGCTTAATAAATAAATATATGCTTAGGATTTGTGAAATATTGAAGGTAACCAAAATGTTTTGAAGTCATATCTTTAAATAAGTGCTCATGATAATACACATGATATTGACAAACACAAACATACATATATCATTGAATCATATCAAATTAAAAAAAATATAATATCCATATGAGAAAAGTATATACTTTGAAGATAAGCTAAGATTTAGTGGTTTATATAATTTGATAAATCACATATCTATTGTACAATTAAGATAAACTTGGACTTTTAGCCTCTGGATAAAGTTCATGAATGCTATTTTAATTAGAAACCTGGCATTTAACATTTCAATTAGTAAAGAAAGGGATATTTTCAAACAACATAATTATTAATCTTTACAAAGCTTTTCATATATTGTAGTTGATGAAAAAATCAAGGAGTTCATCAAACAACATCCTGATTTTTTGACTAATATCAGCATTTCCGAAAGGAAGTCAAAGATCAGAATTAAAGTTGTAAATTGCAGAAGAAGAGCAAGGGAAAAATACTTAAAAAACCTTCAGAAATTGAATCCACAGGAATCTAAAAGAGAAGGCAAATTGTAGTCATACACTTTCAAGTCCCTGATTCATTTCATGTCTTTGAGATTGAAAAATGGAGTGTTGATGGAGTGTTATTTCCTTTTTTTCATCACCAAACTCAGCTCGCCTTCAGCCTCCATGATGGCATTTGAGATGATCCACAGATTACATCTGGACATGGTATCTATTTACTATTGATGAACATTGTGCGGGTAGCTGGTCGGTGGACTCCGGTCGGTGAGTGGGGTACGTCACACCCCAATCTCAATGTTAAACACTTCAATTCCAACAACTCTAGAATCATCTTCAGTGTTGAATTTAAATGTATTACTAATAAATAACATAACAATTTTGATCCGATACTAGTATCTGCATTTGCAGTATATAGAAAATACTACAGTTCAAAATATTCCTGAATTGGATCCTCGTAAACATCAACAGTCTATTGGTAGGAGTGTAACATATGCAGCCTTTAAAATGCCAGAATAAACAGCAAATTCATTGGCACCTATAAAGTAACAATACTTAAATAAACAGACCCGAATTCATTTCCTTTCTTTGAGGTTGAGAAATGGAGTGTTGGTGGAGTGGTAGTACCTTTGTTTTATCACCAATACTCTGGACCACACACCACACTCAGCTCGCCTTCAGCCTCCATGATGGCATTTGAGATGATCCACAGATTACATCTGGACATGGTATCTATTTACTATTGATGAACATTGTGCGGGTAGCTGGTCGGTGGACTCCGGACGGTGAATGGGGTACGACACACCCCAATCCTTTTAACATTGTGTGAGTAACTGGCTGCTGGACTCCTGTCGGTGAGTGGGTTATGTCACATCCCTGCCTCAATGTTAATGAATCTTTTATAGCCTCAAGAAATACAACAGCTCTTAAAACATCTTTCAACACACAGTATGTGAAAAGAAAAAGATTGCCATACAGAGCAGCATTGAAGAAAAGGACAGTCTTAATCAGATACCATATCAGCAGTTGCAATATTTATAAAACTACTACAGTTCTAAGAGTTCAGGATTGAAGCAATATAAATACGTACAGTATATTCTTAGGAGTGTAAAATATGCATCCTATAAAACAGCAGTATGAACACCAAAGTCTTTGCCAACCATGAAGTAACAGTACTTAAATAGCCACTTCCCTGATTCATTTCATGTCATTGAGGAAGAGAAATGGAGTGTTGATGGAGTGGTAGTTCCTTTGTGTTATTCCCAACATAGACTTCAGTGGTATTACCATCTATAAAGAAAGAATGTTCAAGAGCAAGTCCTTGATTCCTTTCATGTCTTTGAGGTTGAGAAATGGAGTGTTGGTGGAGTGGTAGTACCTTTGTTTTATCACCAATACTCTGGACCACACAACACTCAGCTCGCCTTCAGCCTCCATGGCAGCATTTTAGATGATCTACAGATTACATCTGGACATGATATCTATTTACTATTGATGAACATTGTGCGGGTAGCTGGTCGGTGGACTCCGGTCGGTGAGTGGGGTACGTCACACCCCAATCTCAATGTTTAAGACTTCAATTCCAACAACTGTAGAATCATCTTCAGTGTTGAATTTAAATATCTGAGGATTGCAGTGCAAGCTGCATAAAGTAGGACATGTTTAATCTTACTAAACCCTAACCACACTTCCACAAGATTAAAAGGCCAAAATGAGAAATATTCCAGTACAAAATCTTCCTCGCCTTACAGTTTATTTTGATGATTGTCAGCATAGTTTTACCTATGTAACACTAGGATAGACTTCAATGGTATTACCATCTATAAAGAGACAGTTTTAAAATTCAAGTCCCTGATTCATTTCATGTCTCCAAGTTTGAAAAATGGGAGTGTTGGTGGAGTGGTAGTACTTTGTGTTACCACCAATACTCTGTTCCACACATCACAATCATCTCACTTTCAGCCTCCATGATGGCATTTGAGGTGAACCACAGATAACATCAAGATATGGCATTTACTAACTAATCTATTAACATTGTGTGGGTAGCTGGTGGTTGGACTCCAGTCAGTGAGTGGGGTACGTCACATCCTTGCTTTGGCGTTAAAGAATCTGATAAGATGTCAAAAACTACAGTACAACAGCTCTAGAAACATCTTTCAACACAGTGTATTGAATAGCCAACGATTGCAATGCAAGCAGCATGAAAGAAAAGACAATTTTGATCCGATACTAGTATCTGCATTTGCAGTATATAGAAAATACTACAGTTCAAAATGTTCCTGAATTGGATCCTCATAAACATCAACAGTCTATTGGTAGGAGTGTAACATATGCAGCCTTTAAAATGCCAGAATAAACAGCAAATTCATTGGCACCTATAAAGTAACAATACTTAAATAAACAGACCCGAATTCATTTCCTTTCTTTGAGGTTGAGAAATGGAGTGTTGGTGGAGTGGTAGTACCTTTGTTTTATCACCAATACTCTGGACCACACACCACACTCAGCTCGCCTTCAGCCTCCATGATGGCATTTGAGATGATCCACAGATTACATCTGGACATGGTATCTATTTACTATTGATGAACATTGTGCGGGTAGCTGGTCGGTGGACTCCGGTCGGTGAGTGGGGTACGTCACACCCCAATCTCAATGTTTAAGACTTCAATTCCAACAACTGTAGAATCATCTTCAGTGTTGAATTTAAATATCTGAGGATTGCAGTGCAAGCAGCATAAAGTAGGACATGTTTAATCTTGCTAAACCCTAACCACACTTCCACAAGATTAAAAGGCCAAAATGAGAAATATTCCAGTACAAAATCTTCCTCGCCTTACAGTTTATTTTGATGATTGTCAGCATAGTTTTACCTATTTAACACTAGGATAGACTTTAATGGCATTACCATCTATAAAGAGACAGTTTTAAAATTCAAGTCCCTGATTCATTTCATGTCTTCAAGGTTGAGAAATGGGAGTGTTGGTGGAGTGGTAGTACCTTTGTGTTATCACCAATACTCTGGTCCACACACCACACTTAGCTCACTTTCAGCCTCCATGATGCCATTTGAGATGATCAACAGATAACATCAGGATATGACATCTACTAACTAATCTCATAACATTATGCGGGTAGCTGGTCGTTGGACTCCAGTCAATGAGTGGGGTACGTCACATCCGTGTTTCGGCATTAAAGAATCTGATATGATGTCAAGAACTACAGTACAACAGCTCTAGAAACATCTTTCAACACAGTTTATTGAATAGCCAAAGACTAAAATTCAAGCAGCATGAAAGAAAGACAATTTTGATCCGATACTAGTATCTGCATTTGCAGTATATAGAAAATACTACAGTTCAAAATGTTCCTGAATTGGATCCTCATAAACATCAACAGTCTATTGGTAGGAGTGAAACACTATTGATGAACATTGTGCGGGTAGCTGGTCGGTGGACTCCGGTCGGTGAGTGGGGTACGTCACACCCCAATCTCAATGTTTAAGACTTTAATTCCAACAACTGTAGAATCATCTTCAGTGTTGAATTTAAATATCTGAGGATTGCAGTGCAAGCAGCATAAAGTAGGACATGTTTAATCTTGCTAAACCCTAACCACACTTCCACAAGATTAAAAGGCCAAAATGAGAAATATTCCAGTACAAAATCTTCCTCGCCTTACAGTTTATTTTGATGATTGTCAGCATAGTTTTACCTATTTAACAGTAGGATAGACTTCAATGGTATTACTATCTATAAAGAGACAGTTTTAAAATTCAAGTCCCTGATTCATTTCATGTCTTCAAGGTTGAGAAATGGGAGTGTTGGTGGAGTGGTAGTACCTTTGTGTTATCACCAATACTCTGGTCCACACACCACACTTAGCTCACTTTCAGCCTCCATGATGCCATTTGAGATGATCAACAGATAACATCAGGATATGACATCTACTAACTAATCTCATAACATTATGCGGGTAGCTGGTCGTTGGACTCCGGTCAATGAGTGGGGTACGTCACATCCGTGTTTCGGCATTAAAGAATCTGGTATGATGTCAAGAACTACAGTACAACAGCTCTAGAAACATCTTTCAACACAGTTTATTGAATAGCCAAAGACTAAAATTCAAGCAGCATGAAAGAAAGACAATTTTGATCCGATACTAGTATCTGCATTTGCAGTATATAGAAAATACTACAGTTCAAAATATTCCTGAATTGGATCCTCGTAAACATCAACAGTCTATTGGTAGGAGTGTAACATATGCAGCCTTTAAAATGCCAGAATAAACAGCAAATTCATTGGCACCTATAAAGTAACAATACTTAAATAAACAGACCCGAATTCATTTCCTTTCTTTGAGGTTGAGAAATGGAGTGTTGGTGGAGTGGTAGTACCTTTGTTTTATCACCAATACTCTGGACCACACACCACACTCAGCTCGCCTTCAGCCTCCATGATGGCATTTGAGATGATCCATAGATTACATCTGGACATGGTATCTATTTACTATTGATGAACATTGTGCGGGTAGCTGGTCGGTGGACTCCGGTCGGTGAGTGGGGTACGTCACACCCCAATCTCAATGTTTAAGACTTTAATTCCAACAACTGTAGAATCATCTTCAGTGTTGAATTTAAATATCTGAGGATTGCAGTGCAAGCAGCATAAAGTAGGACATGTTTAATCTTGCTAAACCCTAACCACACTTCCACAAGATTAAAAGGCCAAAATGAGAAATATTCCAGTACAAAATCTTCCTCGCCTTACAGTTTATTTTGATGATTGTCAGCATAGTTTTACCTATTTAACAGTAGGATAGACTTCAATGGTATTACTATCTATAAAGAGACAGTTTTAAAATTCAAGTCCCTGATTCATTTCATGTCTTCAAGGTTGAGAAATGGGAGTGTTGGTGGAGTGGTAGTACCTTTGTGTTATCACCAATACTCTGGTCCACACACCACACTTAGCTCACTTTCAGCCTCCATGATGCCATTTGAGATGATCAACAGATAACATCAGGATATGACATCTACTAACTAATCTCATAACATTATGCGGGTAGCTGGTCGTTGGACTCCAGTCAATGAGTGGGGTACGTCACATCCGTGTTTCGGCATTAAAGAATCTGATATGATGTCAAGAACTACAGTACAACAGCTCTAGAAACATCTTTCAACACAGTTTATTGAATAGCCAAAGACTAAAATTCAAGCAGCATGAAAGAAAGACAATTTTGATCCGATACTAGTATCTGCATTTGCAGTATATAGAAAATACTACAGTTCAAAATGTTCCTGAATTGGATCCTCATAAACATCAACAGTCTATTGGTAGGAGTGAAACACTATTGATGAACATTGTGCGGGTAGCTGGTCGGTGGACTCCGGTTGGTGAGTGGGGTATGTCACACCCCAATCTCAATGTTTAAGACTTCAATTCCAACAACTGTAGAATCATCTTCAATGTTGAATATAAATATCTGAGGATTGCAGTCCAAGCAGCATAAAGTAGGACATGTTTAATCTTGCTAAACCCTAACCACACTTCCACAAGATTAAAAGGCCAAAATGAGAAATATTCCAGTACAAAATCTTCCTCGCCTTACAGTTTATTTTGATGATTGTCAGCATAGTTTTACCTATTTAACAGTAGGATAGACTTCAATGGTATTACTATCTATAAAGAGACAGTTTTAAAATTCAAGTCCCTGATTCATTTCATGTCTTCAAGGTTGAGAAATGGGAGTGTTGGTGGAGTGGTAGTACCTTTGTGTTATCACCAATACTCTGGTCCACACACCACACTTAGCTCACTTTCAGCCTCCATGATGCCATTTGAGATGATCAACAGATAACATCAGGATATGACATCTACTAACTAATCTCATAACATTATGCGGGTAGCTGGTCGTTGGACTCCAGTCAATGAGTGGGGTACGTCACATCCGTGTTTCGGCATTAAAGAATCTGATATGATGTCAAGAACTACAGTACAACAGCTCTAGAAACATCTTTCAACACAGTTTATTGAATAGCCAAAGACTAAAATTCAAGCAGCATGAAAGAAAGACAATTTTGATCCGATACTAGTATCTGCATTTGCAGTATATAGAAAATACTACAGTTCAAAATGTTCCTGAATTGGATCCTCATAAACATCAACAGTCTATTGGTAGGAGTGAAACACTATTGATGAACATTGTGCGGGTAGCTGGTCGGTGGACTCCGGTTGGTGAGTGGGGTATGTCACACCCCAATCTCAATGTTTAAGACTTCAATTCCAACAACTGTAGAATCATCTTCAATGTTGAATATAAATATCTGAGGATTGCAGTCCAAGCAGCATAAAGTAGGACATGTTTTATCAAACAAAACCCTAACCACACTTCCACAAGATTAAAAGGCCAAAATGAGAAATATTCCAGTACAAAATCTTCCTCGCCTTACAGTTTATTTTGATGATTGTCAGCATAGTTTTACCTATTTAACAGTAGGATAGACTTTAATGGCATTACCATCTATAAAGAAACAGTTTTAAAATTCATGTCCCTGATTTATTTCATGTCTTCAAGGTTGAGAAATGGGAGTGTTGGTGGAGTGGTAGTACCTTTGTGTTACCACCAATACTCTGTTCCACACACCACACTTAGCTCACTTTCAGCCTCCATGATGCCATTTGAGATGATCAACAGATAACATCAGGATATGACATCTACTAACTAATCTCATAACATTATGCGGGTAGCTGGTCGTTGGACTCCAGTCAATGAGTGGGGTACGTCACATCCGTGTTTCGGCATTAAAGAATCTGATATGATGTCAAGAACTACAGTACAACAGCTCTAGAAACATCTTTCAACACAGTTTATTGAATAGCCAAAGACTAAAATTCAAGCAGCATGAAAGAAAGACAATTTTGATCCGATACTAGTATCTGCATTTGCAGTATATAGAAAATACTACAGTTCAAAATGTTCCTGAATTGGATCCTCATAAACATCAACAGTCTATTGGTAGGAGTGAAACACTATTGATGAACATTGTGCGGGTAGCTGGTCGGTGGACTCCGGTTGGTGAGTGGGGTATGTCACACCCCAATCTCAATGTTTAAGACTTCAATTCCAACAACTGTAGAATCATCTTCAATGTTGAATATAAATATCTGAGGATTGCAGTCCAAGCAGCATAAAGTAGGACATGTTTAATCTTGCTAAACCCTAACCACACTTCCACAAGATTAAAAGGCCAAAATGAGAAATATTCCAGTACAAAATCTTCCTCGCCTTACAGTTTATTTTGATGATTGTCAGCATAGTTTTACCTATTTAACAGTAGGATAGACTTCAATGGTATTACTATCTATAAAGAGACAGTTTTAAAATTCAAGTCCCTGATTCATTTCATGTCTTCAAGGTTGAGAAATGGGAGTGTTGGTGGAGTGGTAGTACCTTTGTGTTATCACCAATACTCTGGTCCACACACCACACTTAGCTCACTTTCAGCCTCCATGATGCCATTTGAGATGATCAACAGATAACATCAGGATATGACATCTACTAACTAATCTCATAACATTATGCGGGTAGCTGGTCGTTGGACTCCAGTCAATGAGTGGGGTACGTCACATCCGTGTTTCGGCATTAAAGAATCTGATATGATGTCAAGAACTACAGTACAACAGCTCTAGAAACATCTTTCAACACAGTTTATTGAATAGCCAAAGACTAAAATTCAAGCAGCATGAAAGAAAGACAATTTTGATCCGATACTAGTATCTGCATTTGCAGTATATAGAAAATACTACAGTTCAAAATGTTCCTGAATTGGATCCTCATAAACATCAACAGTCTATTGGTAGGAGTGAAACACTATTGATGAACATTGTGCGGGTAGCTGGTCGGTGGACTCCGGTTGGTGAGTGGGGTATGTCACACCCCAATCTCAATGTTTAAGACTTCAATTCCAACAACTGTAGAATCATCTTCAATGTTGAATATAAATATCTGAGGATTGCAGTCCAAGCAGCATAAAGTAGGACATGTTTTATCAAACAAAACCCTAACCACACTTCCACAAGATTAAAAGGCCAAAATGAGAAATATTCCAGTACAAAATCTTCCTCGCCTTACAGTTTATTTTGATGATTGTCAGCATAGTTTTACCTATTTAACAGTAGGATAGACTTTAATGGCATTACCATCTATAAAGAAACAGTTTTAAAATTCATGTCCCTGATTTATTTCATGTCTTCAAGGTTGAGAAATGGGAGTGTTGGTGGAGTGGTAGTACCTTTGTGTTACCACCAATACTCTGTTCCACACACCACACTTAGCTCACTTTCAGCCTCCATGATGCCATTTGAGATGATCAACAGATAACATCAGGATATGACATCTACTAACTTATCTCATAACATTATGCGGATAGCTGGTCGTTGGACTCCGGTCAATGAGTGGGGTATGTCACATCCGTGTTTCGGCATTAAAGAATCTGGTATGATGTCAAGAACTACAGTACAACAGCTCTAGAAACATCTTTCAACACAGTTTATTGAATAGCTAAAGACTAAAATTCAAGCAGCATGAAAGAAAGACAATTTTGATCCGATACTAGTATCTGCATTTGCAGTATATAGAAAATACTACAGTTCAAAATATTCCTGAATTGGATCCTCGTAAACATCAACAGTCTATTGGTAGGAGTGTAACATATGCAGCCTTTAAAATGCCAGAATAAACAGCAAATTCATTGGCACCTATAAAGTAACAATACTTAAATAAACAGACCCGAATTCATTTCCTTTCTTTGAGGTTGAGAAATGGAGTGTTGGTGGAGTGGTAGTACCTTTGTTTTATCACCAATACTCTGGACCACACACCACACTCAGCTCGCCTTCAGCCTCCATGATGGCATTTGAGATGATCCATAGATTACATCTGGACATGGTATCTATTTACTATTGATGAACATTGTGCGGGTAGCTGGTCGGTGGACTCCGGTCGGTGAGTGGGGTACGTCACACCCCAATCTCAATGTTTAAGACTTTAATTCCAACAACTGTAGAATCATCTTCAGTGTTGAATTTAAATATCTGAGGATTGCAGTGCAAGCAGCATAAAGTAGGACATGTTTAATCTTGCTAAACCCTAACCACACTTCCACAAGATTAAAAGGCCAAAATGAGAAATATTCCAGTACAAAATCTTCCTCGCCTTACAGTTTATTTTGATGATTGTCAGCATAGTTTTACCTATTTAACAGTAGGATAGACTTCAATGGTATTACTATCTATAAAGAGACAGTTTTAAAATTCAAGTCCCTGATTCATTTCATGTCTTCAAGGTTGAGAAATGGGAGTGTTGGTGGAGTGGTAGTACCTTTGTGTTATCACCAATACTCTGGACCACACACCACACTCAGCTCGATTCAGCCTCCATGATGGCATTTGAGATGATCCACAGATTACATCTGGACATGGTATCTATTTACTATTGATGAACATTGTGCGGGTAGCTGGTCGGTGGACTCCGGTCGGTGAGTGGGGTACGTCACACCCCAATCTCAATGTTTAAGACTTCAATTCCAACAACTCTAGAAACATCTTCTACCCTGAATATAAATATCTTTGGACATGTTTAATCTAACTAAACCGTAACCACACTTCCACAAGATTACAAGGCCAAAATGAGAATTATTCCAGTACGAAATCTTCCTCGCCTTACAGTTTATTTTGATGATTGTCAGCATAGTTTTACCTATGTAACACTAGGATAGACTTCAATGGTATTACCATCTATAAAGAGACAGTTTAAAATTCAAGTCCCTGATTCATTTCATGTCTCCAAGGTTGAAAAATGGGAGTGTTGGTGGAGTGGTAGTACTTTGTGTTACCACCAATACTCTGTTCCACACATCACAATCATCTCACTTTCAGCCTCCATGATGGCATTTGAGGTGAACCACAGATAACATCAGGATATGGCATCTACTAAC